AAGGCAGTCTCCAATCGACTGCAACTCAGATATAAGACCTTTGTCTTCAACGCCCCCACCCCCATGCCTGTCGTATCTTAATGCATGTTTCCAAGCCCGAGATAAATAATGCATGCATTTCAAACCACACCGCCCTCAGGGTTGGTCCCCCTGGTGGAGGGCACCTGTTTTAAGCTCAGCACAGCCAGCGTTTGCGCATGCATGCCCTCCACTCGGCAGCCGCGCCTCCCACCTGAGGTGTATCCTGGGCAAGACTTCCTAACGCTCAGGCAACCACGCCTGGCTCACAGAACCAGTTAGGGCAGGCCAAAGGGAAAAGTTCAGAAAGCGAGATGGGCTGGGGTCAGTAGGACACGAGTCAATGTGGCCGGACAGCAGAACTGAGGGCGGGGAACAGAATGGAGTCTTCGAAGCCCAACCGACCAGGACTCCAGTCCCGCTCCGGCACCTCCTAGCTGTATGGCCCTGGGCAGGTTACTTCAACTCCCTGAGCCTCATGTTTCCGTGTCTGGGAAAGGTGGAAGCAGCACCTAGCTCAGAGGGTCACTGTGAGGTATCATTAGTGATCGGGCCAGCCGCCAACACTACAGAGCGTTCACAAGGGACCCCGCTACTCCAAAACCCGGACACACCTCAGCACTCTCAGTCAACTGCAACAACGCAACTCTCCTGTCCCCACCAGCCCCAATCAGGCACTCTACCCCGGCTCCAGAGGCCCCAACATCCCACCAGCAGGAAGCTCAGGGTCTTCTCTTCCCCTTCTCCCCCAGCACCCGTGTGACCATGTGGCAGCTTGGGGGGTTCTCACAGCAGCCATGACAGAGACCTCTTCTCTGCAGCACCTTGGGCCCCGAGGAGCAGGCTCCGTGGTGCAGACCTTTCTTAGGGAAATAGGCTCTTAGGCTCAGCCAGGGCCTGAAACCCTTCTGAAGACCTGTATCCGTGTTACGAAGAGATCCAAACACTCTAACCAGGTAAGCTCTCCTCGCCCACTCAGCCTGCGGGGCTCACCTCCGCCCTGCCCAGACACCACCTCCTCTGGAGACCCTACCATCATCCGGGTCAGACAGGCCCCTCTCAAGTGGGCTAACGGCTCCAGGCTGGGCCAGGAAGCCTAGGTGGACCTCTGTCCTTCAGCTCCAAGCCCTTGGTCACATCAGCAGATCTCACGGGGATCATGGAGCCCGCCTGTCTGAGTGTGCGAGGACCACATGCATCAGAGCTAAAACCAGGGCAGCGCTCAGTCGGGCCCAGGCAACCGCCTCGTCCATCTTCAAGCACCACTTGGCGACTTGGAAGGAATTCCAGGAACAGGAGACCTCGCCTTCTCCATCCCGGCACGTCTGTTCAGTACACACCTTCAGGGAGGAGCGAAAATGCTGGCAGGAGGGACACAGGCAGAGGCTGGAAAAGCAGCCCAGTGGGCGCTGTGCGTCTTTGCTAAGGCCTAACTCGATACAGGTAGGACAGCTATCGGGACAGGGAGCCTCAGCAGAGGAGGGAGATGTCCTGGTCCCCCAAACACAAACCCGGGGTCCGAAACCAGGCACAGAGGCTGCAGTGGCGGTCTCGCGCACGGTGGCCTTTAAAGCCGTTGGGCTTCCACGTCGGAGAGGGCCGTTTTCTACAACAGCACGGCAGGCGGGAGCATCCTCTTTGCAAGAGACAGAAGGGATCGTCCATGCAAGACAGAAAAGTTTCCCACCTTCCAGTCCAAGCGCCACCCCACTCCCTGCACAGCCAGAAATCGCCGAGGTCTCCGTGGGATGGTCTGAGCAGGTCAGGACGGCCGGCAGGCGGGGGAGGAAGGCGCAGAAGAGAAGGGCCAGCCTCCCAGGTCCCTTCCTGGGGCCACAGCCAATGCCAGGGCCCGCGGCAGGCCCACTGGCAACAGTCTTAGTTTCTGCAGAGAGAAACCGTTTTCTTCCCAGGGGCCGGACAGTGGTACGGTGGTAAAACCTGACGCTCTTTGAGGCCGCTGCACGTGGGAACGTTCTCAGTTCAAGTCCAGAACCCTCCCTGAGTACGCCGGGCATGTGTTTGCCCTTGATCCAGGCTGGCTGAAGGCTGGGTGTAGACTCCTGTGTCAGACTCTACCCCCAGAAAAAGTCTTTTCCTCAACCAGAGGCGGGGTGGAGCGGCCAGCACTGACCCGCCTGACTCGTGGTCCCTGTCGTGGTCCCAGCTCCCCCACTGGCAGCAAGACATGGCCACCTCCTGCCCCGCCTCCCCCGGCCCCGGGGCCCCGCCCC